TTGTCAACCTCAGCAGCTGCCTGAGTTAAGAAATGCCTCCAGCTTCAATGAGCTGGGAGCAAGAGGCAGAGCTGAAGTCCAAGGTCAAGGGACTTTCTCACAGCCCCTAGAGCTGGCACTTTGAACTCAGACATCTAGCCTCCAAAACTTGTTTGTTGAAATCACCCACTTGTGGTATTTTCTGTTAGAGCAACACTAGATAACTTACACAGTAGGTAAGACACATATTTATTTGGGTGAAGGGAAAGGCAATATACCAAAAGTGTATGACCAGCACAATAACACTAAGGCAAAGGAAGACACGGAGAGGTATACAAGAGGTACAGACAACAAAGGTAAATACTTTTACATGCATAATATTGATGTATCAGTAACAAACATTGATCTATGGGTGGATACATAGATAGACAAGCAAAATGATCAGGTATGGGTAGGCAAAAGGGAACATACCCATGACCATATGTATATATGTTTGTGTATATATGTGTAGGTTTGGCAGATGGTATTTCTACATACATATTTGTATATGCTATAAGAATGTCCATCACGGAAGCAAGACTGGTTAATATACTTCTGTAAAGGTTTATTGCCTTGGAAACCCAATGGGGGTCGCTATGAGTTGGAATCAACTCAGTGGGAGTGGGTTTGTTTTTTGGTTATAAGAATGCCCATATACAGAATATAGCTAATAGGGCCAAGTTATGATAACTTCTTAGCCACAGCCAAACACTTTGAGGGAGTGAGTCATTGAGCTCACAGGCTCAGGACCATGGTCACAGGGGATATCAAGCTCAACTGGCATAGCATACTATGCAAAACATTGTTCTACATCCTACTTTGGTGAGTAGTGACTGGCGCCTTAAAAGCTTGCCATCTAACGATTTGACCCAGCAATCCCATTAGTAGGTATATACCCTAGAGAGATGAGAGCCAGGACAGGAACAAATAGGTGCACACCCATGTTCATCACAGCACTACTTACAATGGCAAAAAGATGGAAACAACCTGTGTGCCCATCAATAGAAAAGTGGATGACCAAAGTACGGTATGTACACAAATGGAATGCTGTGCAACACTAAAGAATAATGTAGAGTCTGCAAAATACCACATAACTTGGATGAACTTGGAGGACATTATGCTGAGTGAAATAAGGCAATCAAGGACAAACATAGTATTAGTTCGTTGTTGTGGAGGGTCAAGGAAAGGTTTATATATGGAGGGAAACTTTGTTGGTTGCCAGGGGTGGGCAGGGTGGGGAAGGAACACTGCAAAAAAAACAAAACAAAACAAAACAAAAAAACATTGACCTATGTCACTTTAGTTTTATGTATTTCACTGTACATAAATTATATTTCAATAAAATGCACTAAAAAAAAACTTGGATCTAAGATGCAGCTATTGATCTCTAATTGTCTAGAGCAAAGAACAGTGAAAAAAATTAAAGACAAATGAAAACAATTAGTCCAAGGAACTAGTGGACCATAGGACCCTCAGCCTACATGACACTGAGACCAAAAGAATTAGATGTGCCTGGCTACCACTGCCAACCAGAAAGGAATCAAAATTGGAGATCCTAGATTGAGTTGGAGAAAAACGTGTAGCAAAACTCAAAAATTAAAAAAAAAAAAAAAAAAAGACCAGGCTTACTGGTCTGATAGGAGACTGGTGAAACCCCTAAGACTATGGCCTCTAGTCACCCTTTGGGCCTGGAACTGAACTCACTCCCCTGGCATAACTTCCAGCAAAACAGTAGACAGGGCTATAAGATGAACATAAGTACACTCCTTCGAACACTCAACCATGGGAAATTAGAAGAGCAGCATTTGCACAGGGAGATAGCTCAGAAGGCAGGAATGAATAAGAAAGAAGGACACAGGGATAAGGTAACCACAGGGCAAAAGTGGGAAGAGAGCTGTTACATTATGGGGATTGCAATCAATGTCATGAAACAAAATGTGTATGAATTGTTGTATGGAAAATTAATTTGCTCTGTGAACTTTTACCCAAATCACAATTTAAAAAAATAATAATAATCTGCATGTCTTTATGTAAACCCAACCCACTGCCATAGAGTCAAGTCCAACTCACAGCAATATTCTTTGGATTTCCAAGGCAGTAAGTCTTCTTGGAAGTAGATTGCCTCATGTTCCTTTCACAGAGCAGCTGATGAATTTGAACCACCAGCCTTCTGGTTAGCAGGCAAATGCCTTAGGCACTGAGCCACCAGAGCTCGTTTTTTGTAAACCCAGATAAACATTTATGTTGCGTGTATATCTAGGAGTGAAATTGCTGGGCCATAGGGGATACATGTGCTAATATAACATGTTTATGCATGTAACGTATGTTCAACTTTAGTGTAGATATCCAGAGACTGCGATTTAAATCAATTCATTAAATACAGAGTCTAAAAGTGATCAGAAGTCAGGAGATCAGTCATCTGGCTCTTCTGCTAATTCAGGTTAGAAATAATGAATCCCTGATTTGGGTAGTAGTTCTGGCAATAAATAAAAATAAGTAAAAAGGATGGGAGCAATGGTATCATTTCCAGGATTTTTTTTTTTTTTTTTTTTTTAACTGGAGAGAGTCACAGATACTTGTGAAGTGATGACTTCAGTTGGAAAATAAAAAAAAAAAAGTCAAGAGGAGGATTTATTTGTAGAGCCAGACAGAAATGGATTTTGAATGAATAAAGACTGAGATAAGCACACCATTGCAAATGGAGTTTGGATCTGAACTTTGGGATGAAGATTTCAAATGTTAATTAAAAAAAAAAAAAAAAAAAACTCACCAAAGCAAATGATGTGAATAAAACCGTAGAAGAAAATAATGAAGAGAACTGCCAAAGGGCAGTGAGACTAATAACTTCCATGTAAATGTCACCAGTTTGGCCTCAGGAGCCCTGGATGACCTTCCAGAAAGCAGATCAGTAGAGCAGAGGAGAGTTTGGGTGGAGAAGAGGCAGACAGCAGTGAAAGAATGGGCATTGCTGAGAGGTTGGGGGTCGCTTAGAAGGCAGTACTTTTGAAAGGGGAAGTTTTGTGTTTTTTAAAAAGGGACATTTTGGGAAAAAGAAAAAATGCACCAAGACTGAGAAGGAGTATGAAGTGCATACCAGATAAAGCTTTTCCAAATGATGGTGAGTCCACTGACCAGATGAGGAAGGAAACTTTGATGAGCTACTTTTTCCATCCTGAAATGACTTCTTGGACACAGTTATCCAGAAGACAGCCAAAAACCCAGAAGGAAAGAAACAAGAAGGTTTCTAAGTCTCTGACGTAGACACCACTCAATCTATGCATTCAGCCTCCAGTATTTATAAGAACATACTTTGGTCCCTACTTAAAGCCTGTGTGCTCTCAGATAAGACCATGTTCTAACAAAAAAGTTAACTGGTTTTTCATGCCTCAAAAAATTAGAAGCTGCAAGTTAAATAGGGCTTTACTCATTTTATGCTATGAACTTATATAATTGCTTGCCTCTCTCTTTCAATGGGTTACTATAAAGTTCAGACCATAGAATTTGTGCATGCATTTTTGAGAGTATTGACTTTATCCCTGGCCTCATCTTATTTCTCCTACCCTTGCTTTTTCTGTCTATGATTGCCTAACTTATTTTTATCTTATTATAATTTTTTTCTTTTAAAGGACTCACTGGTGGTTCAGTTGTAGAATTCTTTCCTTCTGTGGTCACCATGAGTTGGAGGCTGACTTGATGGGAGCTAACAACATATTTTTTAAAGCTGCCTTATTACCTTTATGAAATGAGTTGAAGAGTAGTTAAAGAAAAGTGTCAATACATAACAAATAACAGCGAGACTAAAATCTTCAGGCAATGTAGAGAAAGAAGCTCTGGTAGCATAGTGCCTAAGGCACTTGACTGCTAACCAGGCACTTGACTGTTAACTTGGTAGCATAGTGCCTAAGGCACTTGACTTCAAACCCACCAGCCACTCATCAGATGGAAGGTTGGACAATCCTACTTCCATAGTGATACTGCCTCGGAAACCCAAGGAAGGGTCACTATGAGTTGGGGCCGGCTCGATGGCACATAAGAACAACAACAACAGAAAAGAAGAAATGAATGTGAAACATTAATGTAGAAGAGAACCAGGAAAACTATTTAAAAAAAAAAAAAAAAAAGATACACAAACTCCCATAAATTATTTAATATTCTGAGGCTGGTTAGCTTAGGGACAAGCAGCTTGTCACACATCTCAGACTCCACTGAGGGCATCCTTGTGTCATATCCCAAAATAGTTACTCATTTTTCATAGTGAGTCATCAAGAAGGGAGATAGATTAAATGCTACATATTCTGTTTAAGAAGACAGAAAGGTACATATATTCCATTTCTTAAAGAAATTTTGTTCATAAAAGACAAGCTTTAATGAATTACCATTATTAATGATGCCAGAAAAATTAAACTTTTCTGCAACAGAGGTTTTTGAGTTTGCCAGTCTCCACAGTTTTATGTGTATCATATATATCCTTATGGGGAAAGAATGGCAGTAGAAACTATCTGACCTGTGATCATGCCAGCCCTAAACAGTGGTATTCGTCAGAAGTATATAGACAGAAGAAGAAAACCAACAATCCCTGTAGTTACCATCTACCTTAAGAAAGCATGTTACCCTTTTAGTAACTGACCAGTTGCTATTGAGTTGATCCAAACTCTTGGTGACTCCATTTGTGTCAGAGCAGAACTGTGCTCCATAGGATTTTCAGCTAGATCACAGAAGTTTCTTCTGAGCTGCCTCTAGGTAGACTCAAACTACCAACGTCTGGTTAGCAGCAGAGAGTGTTAACTGTTTGCACCACCTAGGTACTCTTCATATTCCAGTAATTGCTGCAAAAACGATTGTAGAGTTGGTAGGTTATACAACTAAAACATAAAAAAAAAAAAAAACCTTCAATAAATAACATTACAGAGTATTTTTGCCCCTAGAGAACAAGACACATTGTATGTTGTCTTTACTGGGTTTTGTTCTGTATTTTGAATCAGGAGGATATGGGCTGTGAGGAGAAGCTATATTTTGGCTTGAATGAGTACAGCAAGTCTCTGCAGTGGGGGGTGACCAGTCCACTTCTGAGATGTGACGAGACTTTTGAAAAAATGGTGAACACACTCTTGGAGAGGTAAATAAGAACTTTCTACCTTTTATTTAGCTGTACTTGCATATCTAAAATAGCCAAATGCATTCTGGGCCAGTGTTACAGGGAGTTTGATGAAGCCCATGCTATGCAAATGATACTTGTGAAGGCAGAATAAAAATAGTCTTTCATAAGATAACTTTTACTCATATGGGTTTTATATGATCAAAGACCAACAAAGGAAAATGGTGGCCAAAAATGGGACCTAGCACCACTTTAAATGCTCTGAATTGTTTCCCAATCATGCTTCAATGCTACCACCAGATTTTTTTTTTTTTTTTCTTGAGTGTTGAAGACAAGTCTGAAGTCTGGCCTTCTCCCACACTGTACTCAGAATTTTTACACTGGTCCCTCTTTACAGGAAGTGCCCTCAGATGACTCTGTAAAAACTAAACTTTACTATGAGATAGATATTTGGAGTATAAATTTGAGAAAATTAAGGAATTACAAACATTTTAAGTGAGTTCAGTTCTTAGGGCCCCTCCTCCAGGCCCTCCCATCTTCTCTGTCTTCTTTGTATTCCTCCGTTCTAGGTCAAACTCTGGAAGAGTAAAGGTATTTCCAACATTTTTCCTCTCTGACTTTGAATCATCAACTCAGAGGTTAGGTAGAGGCAGTAGAATTTGCCTCATCAGTTGCTATGAGTCCTCCAAGATACCTAACAACATTAGAGGTCCTCCATGCTGCCCCCACCCATATTCTATATGTTTGCTCATCCAATGAAGGGAATAGCTGGGTTCTATTTTAAGAGATTTCTGATTTTTAAGAGCTCAGCTTGGAACTTAGCCTTCTTTATAGCCATATCACTCAGAGTTGCATAACTTGTGTTTTAAAAGATAGTCCCATTAACTATTATTACAGTGTTTGTAATAGTTTTATAATTCTTACCAAACTATAATTACAGAAGAGATAACATATTGAGAAAACTATTTATTTCTAAGTTCATAATTCTTTCAGAGCATGAAATTAAAATTCCTGTATATTAAACCCACTGCCTTCAAGTTGATTCTGACTCATAGCCACCCTGTAAGACAGAGTAGAACTGCCCCATAGGATTTCCAAGGCTGTAAATCTTTATGGAAGAAGACTGCCGCATCTTTCTCCCACGGAGTGACTGGTGGGTTCAAACCCCTGACCTTTTGGTTAGCAGCTGAGCACTTAAACCACTGTGCCACTAGGGTTCCTGCCTGTATATTAAAACCAAAAAAACTCAGACCCACTGCCATCGAGTTGATTGCGACTCATAGCAACCTCCGTTGGGTTTCCGAGGCAGAAAATCTTTACAGAAGTAGATTGCTTCCACAGAGTGGCTGGTGGGTTTGAACCACCAACCTTCTCATTAGCAGTTAGATGCCTTCATTAGGCACTGAGCCACCAGAGCTCCTTCCTGTGTATTAAAGGTACCATTTATTCTAACTTTGCCTTTCCTTTGTGACCCAGGAAAAAATTAAGCTTAAGCATGAATCATCTGTGCTTAATTCTCTCAAGGCTGGTCAACCCAAACTAATACTAGCAGTGATATATTGAACACCTGAAGAGACTGGCTTGGGCTTGATTGAACCAAAAGATTTCTATACTTTTCCCCAACATACTAAGCCCTTGCCACCTTTCAGACACTGGGGAGTCAGAAACCTGAATAAAATTTACCTTTGTCTTGGATAAGTAACTGAACTTCAGTTTAGCCCCTTAACTCATTTTTCTTCTATGAGAAGATAAAAATGGTTAGAATGCAGATGTCCCTTCCAGCTCTAAAATACTACAGAATCATGTTATTCATCTGATGACCCTATTTGGTGTTTGACCCTGGCTTTTCTGTGCAAGGCATGTGGACCATTTGTCTCTCTTTAAATAGAATTATCAAAGTAGAACAAAGGTGAAATCCCACATGAGCCTCCCCAGCTGCTGGCTGGCTGTTATGTGCCACCAGCTGGCAACCAGAAAGTTCATAGACTAAGATTTTTGGAGTCTGAACTTTTCTAGACTCCAGCAGAGACTTAGCCAATCTTGAGCCCAGGGTCTCACTTTGTCAGCACCCATTTTCTTGTCTCACTTCCTTCATGCTTGCAAGTGGGGCCTCTTTGCCCATTTGTACTCATTTTGTTATGTTGCAGGCCTGGATTTCTGAGGAATTACACATAAGTGAGACATTTCTTTTCTTCCTGCCCTGTAATTGTAAAATACTGCCAATTTGAACAAACTTGTCTCCTTACCTGGCAGTCTAGGCAAGTTGAAGAATGGTGATAGGGATATTGGGATGAGGAAGTACTGATTTGGCTGGGTTCCCCATCCTGGACTTCCAGATTACTCTGGGAAGGGAGCTGAGGCTTAGATGGTAGGAGACCACACCACTAGGGGGTGCTGTTTCTCCAGTCAGATCCAAGTTTCTACCAATGTATATTTTATGGGAAGATAGAATTATTGCTGGGAGCTCTGTAAGCATATTGCCTAAGGCACTTGACTGCTAACCAGAAGGCTGGTGGTTCAAACCCACCAGCCAGTCCTCAGAAGGAAGGTTGCGCAATCTACTTCCGTAGTGATACTGCCTTGGAAACCCAAGGAGGAGTCACTATGAGTTGGGTCTGACTTGACAGCATATAACAACAACAGAATTATTGTTCTCTGTAGGGCTGACCTCAAATTAGTAATATTAATTATCCCTTTTAAACCTGATACTTATCAGACATTGCATTAATGTCTCAATTTCCTTTTTAAGTATCAGAACTAAACTGGCAATGCCAAAATTCTAACCCAGTGCTTTTCTTCTATAACAATAAGAGGTTAGGATCCAGGGATTCTCCATTATGTCTGTCAACAATTAGCCTGATGAGGGCAGTGCTTCTTAAAATTTAATGCACATACAAGTCACCTGGGAATCTTGTTAAAATGCAGATTCTGATTCAGTAGGTCTGCGGCGGGCCTGAAAATTGGCATTTCTGACAAGCTCTCAGATGCTGCTGATGCTGCTGGTCCACAGACCATACTTTGAGAAGTAAGCATCAACATCCTTACACCTCTTTAACTTGTTGTACCTACCCCACAATAGGTTATAATCCACATGCTTTGGAAGTTCAACTTTTCCTTCTAGTAATGTGGGATTCGAGGTCATTCTAGACCCAAAGTCCCCACTGCCCTTTCCCACCACATTGATCTGCATTCTTGCTGCACAGTCCTTGCCATTGCCAGCTGATCCTGCTGCCTGAGTGCTGGTCCCCTGTGTTCTGTTGAAGGTACCCCCGGCTGCACAGCATGGTTGTCCGCTGCTATCTTCTCATCCAGCAGTACTCAGAGGCTCTGATGGCTCTAACCACTGTGGCGTCCCTCCGAGACCACAGCACCCCAGAGACACTCAGCATTATGGATGACCTCATCAGCTCCCCAGGAAAAAACAAGAGTGGGAGGGGGCACATGCTCATTATAAGGGTGCCTTCGGTGCAGCTGGCAATGTTGGCCAAGGAGCGGCTGCAAGAAGTTCGCGACAAGCTGGGGCTGCAGTACCGCTTTGAGATCATCCTTGGGAATCCAGCCTCTGAGCTCAGTGTTGCACCTCACTTTGTGGCACGATTAAAGGTCAGCAGTGGACGGAGATTTCTCCTCCAAAATGCCCTTTGTCTCTGTTTTCTAAGGCTCCTGTATAGGTGGTTCAGATGCCTGAGTTTAACAGATTTTTGCACATGTGTGAATTTGATCTCCTTGGCAGTCTTAAGGCTAGCTAAACTAAGGGATGCAATCAGTTTCTTAATTGGAATCTGTTTGTAGAGATTCTATCAAGTATCCTCTTTAGCACGTGCATACAGTTGGTCTTCAGTGCTCTCCAACTGCAAGTGCAAAAATGACATGACCCAATTTGACCCCATATTTACTGACTTTATTCAAGATGCATCTAGCCCATGGACATCTGTTTTCTCAGGAAAAAGAGGTAAGTTGTTCTCTCAGACCTCTGTGGGATACTCCTTTAAGTATCATCAATTTACTAATTCTTTTCTGTCCATCTAGCCTATTTGTCAGCTCATGTTTAGAGTTGGTAAAGTGTTCCATTTTATCTTCAGAACTCTGTAGAGTGATTCCTAGCTCTCTCACATGTGGATTGCTCAACAATTTGTTCTTTCTTTGGAGTTGCTTTGGCCCTCAGCCCCAAGGCCTTGGCTAGACTGAGACTTATCAAGGCCTTCAATTATAGGTATTTAGTGCACAATCAAGCCCTTCACTGCTCCCTCTGCACTGCCAATGACTGACTGCTTCCACACAACCCTCCTGTTAGGCAAGGATGGGGAGTAAAACTTCTAAATCAACTAACCTAACTCCCTACCATGTGCCCTGCTGAGTTTTTTTTTTTTTTTTTTTTTCTGGAAACTTTTCTAATCCATTGTGTCTTACCCATTAGGAAGCATTTAATAAAATACTGGCATACATTTAGGTATGGTACTAAACTAGGTACTATTGTCTGAGTTAAACCAACATGATATCTGCATCCTGCATGCTAAATAGTGAGCTAACTGGATTTTAAAAAATCTAGTTCTGCACAGATTTTATGAAAAGAAAGCATGTAGCTTGAGGGAGGTGCATTTTCACCCTGGGCTAGTTTCTTATCTGCAAGATGGAGTTGGACTGTATGATCTGAAAGAGATCTGATTTGGGGATTATAATTTAGTGCCCAAAAAGCATTTTGCAACTGTAAACCTTTGCCATATATTCTATTAGCTAACCTAAACTGAATAATCTAAAATGCAAACAAAACATCTTGCTCAGTAAACAACTAGAATAAATGAATTTGTCCAAAAATAGAAATTCTTATATATAATGGAAGTTTTAACATTTATATTTCGTATAGCTAGAGATATATGTTCACTGTATTAAATTTTAGGAGCTCTGGTAGCGTAGTGCTTAAACACTTGACTGCTAACCAGAAGGCTAGCGGTTCAAACCCACCAGCCACTCCTCGGAAGGTTGGGCAATCTACTTCCGTAGTGATACCACCTCGGAAACCCAAGGAGGGGTTCCTGTGGGTCGAGTCCGACTCAATGGCACATAATAACAACACCATTTTAAATTTTAGTCATGGATCACATTACAGTAGAATTCTTAGTATATATAACAAACCAAAGTCCTGAAATACTTCTTACACAGTAACTCATCAGGACACAGGTCTTGGAATGATTTAAATAATGCTAATATATGTCAGTTTGTCATACTGTGGTGGCTTGCATGTTGCTGTGATGCTGAAAGCTATGCCACTGGTATTTCAGATACCAGCAGGGCCATCCATGGTGGAGAAATTCAGCAGAGCTTCCAGACTGAGACAGAGTGGGAAAGAGGACGTGGTGATCTACTTCAAAAAAAATTGGCCAGCGAAGACCTTATGAGTAGCAGTGGAACAGTGTGATTTCCTGCTGGAAGATGAGTCCCTCATGTTGAAAGGCACTCAGAATACAACTGGGGGAAGAGCTGCCTTCTCCAAGTAAAATCAACTTTAATGAGGTAGATGGAGTAAAGCTTTCAGGATCTTCATTTGCTGATGTGGCAGGACTCAAAATGAGAAGAAAAAGCTCCAAATGTCCATTAATAATTGGAAGGTGGAATGTATGAAGTATGAATCTAGGAAAATTGGATGTTGTAAAAAATGAAATGGAATACACAAGATAGCTAGGTATTAGTGAATTGAAATGGACTGGTATCGACCATTTTGAATGTATAGTCATATGGTCTACTATGCCAGGAATGACTTGTTGAAGAGGAATAGTGTCACATTCATCATCAAAAAAGAACATTTCAAGATCTATCCTGAAGTATAGTGCTGTCACTGATAAGAAAATATCCATACCTCTACAAGGAAGACCAGTTAATACAACTATTATTCAAATTTATGCAGCAACTACTAATGCAAAAGATGAAGAAGTTAAAGATTTGTACCAATTTCTAAAGTCTAAAATTGATCAAGTATACAGTCATGACACATAGACAATTACTGGTTATTAGAATGCAAAAAGTGGAAACAAAGAACAAGGATCAGTAGATGGAAAAAACAGCTTTGGTGATATAAACAACACTGTAGATCGCATGACAGAATTTTGTAAGACTGATGACCTCTCTCTCTCTCTCTCTCTCTGTCTCTCTGTCTCTCTCTCTCTCTGACTTCTAGTGACCAAAGCAGCAGCAGCAAAGTGGCTACTTATGATTATGTCAAGACTGATGACTTATTTCTTGAAAATACCTTTTTTCAACAACATAAACAGTGACTATACATGCAGATCTCACAGGATGGAATACACAGGAATCAAATCAACTACATCTGTGAAAAGAGACAATGGAGAAGCTCATTATCATCACTCACAACAAGGCCAGAGGAATAGACCATAATCCTGGAGCCCTGAGCTTTGAAAGGAACTATACAGAGATGGTCTGAGCTGCAGATGTCAGCTACTCTGACGGGATCAACAGCCTGAATATTTCCAAGTGGTGTTGAGACCTGAGAATTGACCTAAAGATCAGCCCTGGTCACCAAGGGCTGCAGGGACAACTGTGCTGGTGGCCTATGACTAATAAGGGAAACAGCAAGGAGGGAGACAACCTGACCTGTTGACTTTCCGCTGCCCGGAGGATGCAGCCATTTGAATGTTTATAAGCGGCAGCCATTTTGGATATTTAAAGTGACCAAGGGCGCAGCCATTTTGAATGTTTACAAGTGGCAACCATTTTGGATTTTAAACTGATAGCATTCTCATTCAGATTCTAGGGACCTAAGAATATGCTCTGTTTGTCAAGGTTGGCAGGGACATACAAGAGGCTGACAACAGGAAAGGAGACAGGTAGTGAGTGTATAAGTGCTGCCAACTACTGAATCGAGGAGCAGAGCACAGTACCCTGCTTGCATAGAAACATACAAACAAAACAAAATGAAAATCGTGGGCAAGTCACTCCAACATACAATCGCCAATTAAATATATACACAAAAATGTCACAATACCTTGGAGACAACAGAGCATCACAGTCCACACAAAGAAGCAGGATAAAGCAGGAAAAACAAGGGACCAGGATACAGACCCAAAACACATCCCTGAGGGAGACTCAGCATTGGAACTCCCTGATAGGGAATTCAAAAGAATTATATTTAGGTATCTTCAAAGGATTGAGAAACAGATCAAAGAAAACACTGACAAAAACCCTAGAATTTTGGAAGAAAATACAAGAACAAAATGACAAAATAAATGAAAAATTAGAAATGATTCAAAATCTACAGATAGAAATCCAGAAGATTAATA